GCAGGCTGGGTCCGGGGGCAGCTCCGGCTGCCCAGCCACTTACCCCATCAGCGCGCGAGCTGGGATCCGCGCCCCCTGCACAGCCCAGCAGCACCCTGCACAGCCCACTCGGGCGGGGAAACGCTGCGGCGCCTGGGGAGACTCAGAGCAGCAGCAGTGGCGCCAGCAGGACCCCTCCTCCCTCCCTGCATCCCGGGCCCCGCTTCCTTCCCTCCCTGGCTCCTCACACACTCTGGGATCCCCTCTCGCGCCGCAGCCCGGGCTCAGCTCCAGGGGACGATGCTCTGGCTCTCCAGCAACAGGGCTCCAGCCAGGGCCGGCTCCTGGCTTTTTGCCGCCCCAAGCAAAACAAAAACAAACAAACAAACAAACAAAAGGGGTCGGAGTGCTGCCCCTTGGAAAGTGCTGCCCCAAGCACATGCTTGGAGCGCTGCTGCCTAGAGCCGGCCCTGGCAGTGAGACAATTGATGTTTTGTCAGCTGTCACAATTCTAGTGCAACTGCATTAAGTCATTGAGACATACCCCAAGTTCTCCAAACTGTTATTGCTGTCAGATGCATACTGATTTAGTGCATACAGGAAGCATGAAATTATAATTAAGGTTTTGTATTATAATACTAGTGCTAGGTTTTGTTTTGGGGTTGGTGCCAGGAAGAGAAGAATGTCACACTTAATCAACCTCAGTCCCTTTCAAACACAGTTTGTCCATGGAATTTCCTGGGTTTTTAAATGGCAAGTGCAGGAGGGTTACAGGGGGAGGATATGAAAAGGAATATGCATTACCTCGGATTTCCTCATGACCCATAGGGATATGAGAAGAACAGAGATGTTTAGGGTAGGAGGAAAATTGCCAGTGATAGGATGGAACCTGGTGAGTCTCTCTACCCCCTCTCAGGCCTGACTTACACTAGAATATTAAGTCGGTTTAATGACAATGCTCAGATGTGTGAAAAATCCACACCCCAAGCAGTGTTGTTAAGTAGACATAACCCCCAGAATTCTTCCATCAACCTAGCTACCTCCTCTTGGGGAGGTGGAGTACCTATGCCAACAGGAGAATCTTTCACATCGGCAAAGGTAGTGTCTACACTGAAGTGCTACAGAGCCCCAGCTGCACCACTGCAGTTTTTTTTAAAGTGTGGACATACCTTCACTGCACTTCTATGAATAAGACAGTGGAAGGAAGCAAACAACCTCACCAATGCTAGAGACACCCCAAAATGATTTCAGTATGTAAAATATGCAGAGTGAGCCAGATCGAAAGTTGGCTGAACTTCAAGTAGCTTTGGAGCAAGCCCATGTTTTCAATATGGATTCTTGCTAATTGGCATCAAAGCCAGTTCTTGCAAAAGGCAGACATAATATTGCCAGTATTCAGCAGTAGGAACCAGAATAGCAAGAGATAAACTACATCCTTCTCTGTAATGTGATTTATTAGAAATAATCTCTATTAAAGTGTACTACATCAAGCTGTCCTTAAAGTAGAGCTAAAGGTTCTTCCCTCCCTTAGCCTGCTTCCATTTTAAATGCAGTCTCCCTCCACCCCATCTACTTTTTTGTATGGTGGGGCTATAAACATTCAAATAAACAAACCTTTTTGATCAAAATTAAGGAATTCTTCATTTCTGCCTTTGACTGCACTCAAGTGCCTTTGCTATGCTAAGGCTCGACTCATTCCATTTGAGCAAGACCCTTTCTTAGCATGTTTGAGAAAAACAAGCAGTGTCCAGGCTGGACAGTCTTCTGAAGGGCACAGTGAGTTCTGAATGCCTGGTTCATATGCTTTATCTGGGGTGAATGATCTTCAGCAATTTCAGAGTAAGAAGGAAGCTGGAAGATACCTCTGTCCTTCAGACAGAAAAACAAACAACAGTTTTTAGATGGTAGTGCAAGCAGATGTCAGTCATTTCAGACTAAAAATCCTTGTATGAATTATTCACTCAGTGTATCAGGAGAGATTTCCCCAGCAATCTCATTTATCTTCCTGTTTATAGATTATTCTAATCCCCAAGTTGTGTAGAGCTAGAATTTGGCAGGTAGTTCAGGTAAAGAGACAGAAGTCTCACAATTTGGCTTGGGTGATAACCAACAAGTCAGATACTGAAAAACCAAAGGAGACCAATTTCATCTGCAAATGAGTTGTTTGTTTAGGTTCTTTTGGTAATATTAAGGTCACTTCTAAATGGAAAAAGTGTGCACAAGAAGAAGGCTGCTTTGAAATACAGCACGTATTGTACAACAGTACACCAAGGTTTACTTTTTTTTTTTTTTTTTTGCCAGTCACCTGCTAACCAGAAGATTACAAGCCAGAGGCTGAAGAGTTTTGGTATCACAAGCTGACTGTTAATGTGGGTCATTTAAGTAATAGAAAATGCAAGCCCTGTGCGAAGCACAATTATGCCTGGAATTTCTCCTCCTCTGCAACAGTGATAATTTCTTATTCAAATCTTCAAACAAGCTTCAGGACCACTGTTACAATACAAGCCAGCTCTCTCAACATCAGGGTTCCCATGCCTGGGGAAACAAAGGTCAGCATGGTAAGTCAGTCTTCTGCATGGCTACAGCCTTCAACTTGCCCTAGTTGATAACTGCCGAAGGGAAAAGCATCAGTATTAGTGAGAAATAATGCAGTGAAAGGTGTTGAATTCTCAGGCCTGTAAAATGAATTAAAAAAATAAAAATAAAAAACCTATATAGCACCTTTCAGCAGAGGGTGTCAGAGCATTGCAAGAACATTTATCAGGCCTCATTAAACCCCAGTGAAATAGTTATTCCTTCTTTTTTTTTACAGGTGGGGAAACTGAGGCAAAGAGATTTGCTCAGTATTACACAGCAAGTCAGCAGTGATATTGGGAACAGAACCCAGGAGCCTTTGTTCCTAGTCAGCTGCTCTAGTCACAAGATCACGTTCTGTGCACCATAAGAGCTGCAGCATGGACAGCATCAATTTAAGAAAATGGGGAAGACTGTGTAGGAATGTGACTTGACCTGAAGGATCTACCTCTGAGGAGAAGAGTTTGTTCTCCAGGCCCACTCTAACCTTTACCCTCTGAGACTGGAGAAGGGAAGGAGGGGGGAGAGGGAGAGAAAGGGAGCAGTATGTAAAAATTTTCCAAGAACTGCTTAGTTTCACTGGTTACACATTCCACATGGTTTCCAAAAGGGTCTGTAGGAAAAAACAGCTGAATTTGTGTGTTTATTATCCCTGCCATATCTTTTGCCATGACTCTTAGAGCCCTTGATCATGTTTTGCTGTCTAATGTATTGGAGGTGAGCTAATCCTTTCACTGGGATTTCCGGACAGCTTCTACCCTACTGAGCCACTGTGCTCTGAGTAAGCTCCTTTCATTAGTGTATACAAGAAGGATTGGTATTGGTTTTCTGGTCAAAGGATAATTCTTGTAGGACATGCTCAATCCTGTGATCTTAAGTAGGGCATGGAAGCCCATTTTATGCCACGGATATCAGTCTTAGAGTGTTAGGAAACATGCTTAAAACTGTAATGAAATACATATTTTGATTCAGAGCCACTTTCTGCTTTCAGTAACAGACTTCACTGGGGTCATACTAGCATAATTGAAGGCATAACTTCGCTCTCTATGTCTGCTTTTGTGGCAACAAGTATGCTACACCTCTACCCAGATATAACGCGACCCGATAGAACACAAATTCGGATAGAACGTGGTAAAGCAGTGCTCCGGGGGGGCGGGGCTACGCAATCTGGCAGATCAAAGCAAGTTCGATATAACCGCGTTATAGGTGAAACTGCGTAAGATTTTTTGGCTACCAAGGACAGCGTTATATCGGAGTAGAGGTGTACTAGGATGTAGGTTCCATCAGAAGTTCTGTCCGGCATTGCAGGAATAGTTTTTTTTTACTTGGGTGCACCAAAGTGATTTTCAGAAAATTGTGTATTAAAAACACTAGGTCACAGTGTGACGTTGCAGTCTAGCATATTTTTATAAATCCATATAATGAGTGAATATAATGTAACTGGAATATGCTTCATGCAAAAGGTCTCTTGTAAGGTATCATTTACAAAGCTTATAATCTACTGAGTGTGATCATCCTATTTGTATAAATGTACCACTCGTATCTGAAACTAGAAATATGAACTATAACTCTGATGCAAAGTGTGGACCATTAATGGTGGTTTGGAATCTTGATGACTCCCATTAAACAGGACAATTGTCTGCAAATGGCCGTGTTTTACCTGTAAGTCTTCCTGTATAAGTGTATGCTAGCAAGTGGGCAATGAAGTCTTGCAGTGACATATGATCATGTCACCTGAACTGGAATCCATCTTTATCCTGGTGTCTTTCCATTGAGAAAGAGGGGGTGGGAACCCAGAGAGGGACAAAGGGTTCCCACCTTATGCGAAAGATATATAAAAGAGATGGAACAGAACAAAGAGGGAGAGAGGAGCCATCATGAAGAATCCCCTAGCTACCACCTGAGCTGCAACAAGAGCTGTACCAGGGGAAAGAATTGTGCCCAGACCTGGAAAGGTGTCCAGTCTGAGGAAAAAACTTGCTGAAACATCTCTGAGGATGAGATTATCTGTATTCAGTTTGATTAGACAGATTTGTGTATTTTATTTCATTTTGTTTGGTGACTTACTTTGTTCTGTCTGTTACTACTTGGAACCACTTAAATCCTACTTTCTGTATTTAATAAAATCACTTTTACTTATTAACTGACCGAGAGTATGTATTAATACCTGGGGGGAGGCAAACAGCTGTGCATCTCTCTCTATCAGGTCTTGGCTACACTTGCAGATGTACAGCGCTGTGAGTTAAACCTGACTTCGTGCAGCTGAGTAGGGAAAGCGCTGCAGTCTGTCCACACTGACAGCTGCCCAGCGCACTGTCGTGGCCACATTTGTGGTAATTGCAATGCTACTGGGAGCAGTGCATTATGGGCAACTATCCCACAGAGCACCTTTTCCCATTCTGGCGCCGTGGGTTGTGGGAAGGGGGCGTGGGATTCTGGGTCCTGTCCCAATGCCCCATGATGCATCGCTTCGCATCCCAGAAATCCCTTTGTTTCCGTCCACCTTTGGCGCCATCTTTCAATGGTTTCTGTGCAGCGCGATCTGTCTGCAGGAAATGGAGTCCGAACTGCTGAGGCGTATGCAGACTAGTCTCGCCAGCACGTCACGTTTGGCTGTCGAACTATTCCTTAAGATCCAAAGTGACAGGTGAGAGTGAGGGTGAGGAGTCCGACGATGCTATCGAGCCGCGTATGACACAAAATTGCTTGTGGCATTCACGGACATGCTCAGCACTGTGGAACGCCGCTTTTGGGCTCAGGAAACAAGCACCAAGTGGTGGGATCACATCGTCATGGAAGTCTGGGATGACGAGCAGCGGCTGCAGAACTTTCGGATGAGAAAAGCCACTTTCATGGGACTGTGTGAGGAGCTTGCCCCCACCCTGCGGCGCAAGGACACGAGAATGAGAGCTGCCCTGCCAGTGGAGAAGCAGGTGGCTATTGCAATCTGGAAGCTGGCAACTCCAGACAGCTACCGGTTGGTCGCAAACCAGTTTGGAGTGGGAAAGTCGACCGTTGGAATCGTGTTGATGCAAGTTTGCAAGGCCATTAATCGCATCCTACTCAGAAGAACCGTGACTCTGGGTAACGTGCAGGAAATAGTGGATGGCTTTGCACAAATGGGGTTCCATAACTGTGGAGGGGCGATAGATGGGACGCACATTCCTATTCTGGCACCACCCCACCTAGGATCAGAGTACGTTAATCAGAAGGGGTATTTCTCTATGGTTCTCCAGGCACTTGTGGATCACTGTGGGCGTTTCATTGACATTAACACAGGCTGGCCCAGAAAGGTGCATGACGCATGGATCTTTTGGAACCCTTGGCTGTTCAGGAAGATGCAGGCTGGGACCTTTTTCCCCAGAGCGGAAGATCACGGTAAGGGAAGTTGAAATGCCCATTGTGATCCTTGGAGATCCCGCTTACCCCTTAATGCCGTGGCTCATGAAACCCTACACAGGGAGCCTTGACAGCAGAAAGAACGGTTCAACTACAGGCTGAGCCGGTCCCGAACAACTGTGGAGTGTGCCTTTGGCTGTTTAAAGGCCCGCTGGCGATCTCTGTATGGGAAGCTGGACTTGGCCGAAAACAGCATCCCCTTGGTTATAGCCGTGTGCTGTGCCCTCCATAATATTTGTGAGGGGAAGGGTGAAAGCTTCACTCATGCATGGACCTTCACTCACGCAACACCTGGAGGCTGAATTTGCACAGCCAGAGAGCAGGGCTATTACAGGGGCCCAGTGCGGGGCTGCAAGGATTAGGGATGCCTTGAGGGAGCAATTTGAGGCTGAAAACCAGCAGTGATATCTGGTGCCCTGCACGGGAGTGAAGTGCAGTAGTTCCAATCTTTAGGAATCAGTGTTTGCTAA